ACGTGTGTTACAACTAACACCCCGTTACTTTGTGCATCGCACGATAATAAAGTTTGTTAAATTGTTAAATGCCCTTACATATCTCTGTCACCATTATAAGTGTTTGATCACCACATTTGAGTGATCATTGCAAAAAATGTGTTTATGTATATATATATTCTGTTTATGCATATACTGTATTCTATATATAGTACCAGTCAAATGTTTGGACCCACGAATGGGAAAGTGTCCAAACTTTTGACTGGTACTGTACTATAATATACACAAAGAATATCGGCCGATATATCGGTATCGGCCTTTTTAAACCCCCTAATATCGGTATCGGCCCCAAAAAAACCATATCGGTCGGGCTCTAATCGACGGTACACCTTCTTTGATAACAATAGAAAAAAATGTTCGATATAGCGCACGATATAGGCACGTGCTATGAGTGACGCAGACAGCACACACAAACACATGCTGAAATGAGTGCTGTGCCTGCCTGTGATGAGGAGATTGTGAATAAAGAATGAATATTGGTCGAATTTAAAATAAACATTTGCATTTGAATGTTAGGAGTGCATCAGGGAGCGTCATTAGTGACGCGCGAGATGCAGTGATGATGATGTAAGTGACGTTGTTTCATTTTAATGTTTTGTTAGTCTAGCCCACGAGATTTATTGTATTGTAATATTATTGTATTATTGTAATATACCTGCACTATTGTAATATACCTGCACATACAATTGTCGATTTATATATTTTTATTCCTTATTTACTTGTTCTATTTTTTATTTTTTATTATCTGTGTTTTTTGTTCTGTCACTGTCATTCTGTTACACTGTGGAAGCTTCTGTCACGAAAACAAATTCCTCGTATGTGTAAACATACCTGGCAATAAAGTTCATTCTGATTCTGATTCTTCTGATTCTGAGACGCGCCGCTGCTGCATTATTCATTCAAAATATTAGAGAAATATAGAAGCTCAATGCGGAGAAGATCTTGATTAGGTTAAAACCGAAACCAAGCCATTCACACAGAACGCATATTCTGCGCATTTTTTAGACGGACAAATGACTGCTACACTCGCGTCTCACACAAGAGAAGTATAGAAAGCCATGCAAAGTTAAAACAGTTTAAACTTTTAGAAAACACGTCACGAATTTGTGGAGGTTTATTTATTTTTCGCTGTGTCTCATGTTTTTAAATGCAATCGGTGTGAATGGCGCTTCGGCTCTTTGGATTAAGCAATGCATAAATACATGATGCTGTTTTGTTCATAATTGTTTATGCAATTTACAAAATTATATTTGATTTTTATGAGTTAATTTAGACGTAATGCACGTTTTTTTATAGACAGATATTTCCTTGCGTTGACAATTTAAATGTGCTGCATTATTTTGCTCATTGCACCCTCCTGTGCCAAATGTCAGCTTAACATCGTGATGGCCATCAGCCATCGGCGATGGACGGTGGCATCGTCTATCGGCCCAACCCTAATGTGTACACACACATACACACATAAATATATAGGCCTATATAAACTAGTGTTGGCCGATTTGGTCATTTTTCATATCGTCATATCGCCAGGCTTTGAGATTGCGATACACAATATTATCGTGCATGGGTGGGTGGGGCAAGAGAGAGACTCTCTGTACTTGTCGTAGGCTATTTTATAACTATTTGGCGTTTTAAACCGCGCATGCATGAGACAGAGAGAGCCTATGGAAGCACCAATAATCAAAATAATATACTTTCAAACATACTGTTAAACTAACATGTTACATTTAAAAATATTTAAAACAGATAGTTCATAATTATATATTCGGATACAACAGTCTTACATCGCTATTAGGACAGCGCGTCCTGTGACAAGTTTGCCGCATTGGCGCACGGAAGTTATCAGTATAAAAGGTCTAAAATCAGTCAACTGTGAAAATCAAAAAAGTATATTTATTTTAAAGACCAACAGTTTAACACTAAATATTGGACATAAACGAACACGTTAAATATAAAAGTATTTAAAACAGGTAAGTCCGGACTGCGCGCACCCATGACGTGCCCTGTTAGACTGATAACTTATCTGCGTATTTTTATAATAACGATGAAGAATAAGCATCAATATTTTTGTTAATGTGCTTTAAAGAAAACGGAATACTGATGAAGATGCAGTTTTCGGCATGTTCATTCATACAGCTGTTCAAGAAAAGATGTCTCCAAAAGATGTCTCTTTTAGCACTCTTGACATAATTTGTAAATATGTGACCCTGGACCACAAAACCAGGCATAAGGGGCAATTTTTCAAAATTGAGCTTTATACATCATCTGAAAGCTGAATAAATATGCTTTCCATTGATGTATGGTTTGTTAGGAT